TAGTCCTTTTTCGAAAAAAAAAACATCCCCCGGCGAAGACTTTACACGAATTTAGATGCACTGCCAGCACAATGCCCCCGTATCTTGCGATAGCGCCTACATCTCTACGAATCTTTGCCTACACGGTGTTCTCATCATCATTTGTTCTCCACACAGGGATCTTGACGCAGCTTATTATTACAACCTTCTTTTTTGCTGCATTTCTTGCCTACCTTGACCGCTCACAACTCGCTTGGGAAGTTCACGCAGAAGTCTCCATATTTGTGAGTAGTATTCTTGACCTACTTGATATACCTGGGTCTCCAAGAATAGTGCAGTGGGAGTTTTAAATCTTCCCTGTTCAATTTACGTAATAATCCGCCTTTTGTGAATTGACACTCTCGTTATGCAATTGAACACTTAGGCTAGGAATTGAACACTTGGGCTAGGCACATTTTCCACAGAAAATATCGAAGAAATCATAAAATAGTGCCAACTTGAAAGAATACACACTATTTTACTCTGAACGGAAATTCAACAGTACGAATAAGCAGGTTCACAAAATCTGCTCCTAGTTCAGGATCATATTTTTATCTGCCTCATTACCAGGGTGAATAATGGTCGAGCAAATCCTTTGTACTGTGTGAAGACAGTGTCGACAGTGAAGTGTACATGCGGAGGGCACAGACGGCTCGCGCGTGGCAAGAGTGAATGCTCGCGCGGGAGAGCGGTCAAACAGGCGAAAATCCTCGATGAGCCGTTGACTAATCCTCGACCGATTTTCACCCTTTACCTCATCACTTTACCTCGGCTCATCATTTGAATGAAAAGCAAGCAGAACACTACAAAAAGGATACCCAGGCGATTAACAACAACTACATATACGTTGTATGATAAGGAATTTATTAAGCAAAGCTGTTAATGCAACCAGAATTCATGAAAGCAGCTGCTTGGTCGGGACAAAACGACAATGCGCTCTCAATTCGTGATGAAGATCACTAAACAAAGTATATCCAACACCGGGAAAACTGCCCAGGCGCATTCGAGGGCAAGGTGCACAAATGTTCGAGTTTCACAGTTCGAATACAAGTAAAAAAATACTGATGAATGAAGGAATTCAAAAATAAAAAGTTGGAAAGCACCGGCTAATTACATCTACACATACTTGGCAAAAATCACATCGAGGCAGTAGCGACACCATGAATTTACATTATACGTGTATACAAAGTACATCTCGTGAAAATGTATGATTGCACAGCTCAGCTATATCGTGTAAAATCAAACTAACACTCTAAAACGGCATCGGTGCCATACCACCAATTAAAAATATATCAAAATAATAGGCTGTGGCACAAATACTTGAGAGATTTTCTGTTATGGGAACTCAATAAATAACTGTGAGAGGCGTCATGAAGAAAAAGAGAAGGCTGCAGGGTAATTCGACTAGCACTGTGTTGCACATAATGAGTCAACAAGTCTCACCCCAACCAAAAAGGCGGAAATAAGATCAAGGGGCAAAAATTATGTTGAAAGAAGAAAATTACTTGCACATAGACAATAAGTACATAGAGGTACGACTGCAATTGTGGCGACAGGGAGCAAAAAGCTTCACGTGAATACAGCACTTGGTACAAGGCCTTCCTTTGAAGTGATTCCCGGCGTAAGATTCGCTTTGCATAAGAAATTCAAAGGGAATTCCACCAGGACACCTTAAAGGAAAAATGTAAACTTTTACAGGTAAAAATAGGAGCGTAAACAAACATAGTACAGAAGCACAATAAACAGGAAAAAGAAGAATTATTGCTCCCCAAAAACGGTCGGTGCAACCTATGGAGAGCGGGGTCAACTGAGCCAGTAACAACATAATCCCTCCCTTGAAGTCTTTGATTCGTTAAAAGTGAAGCCATTCGACTCCGCTCTGTGCCTCTTAGGCCGCGTTCATAGTTCGCGACTCCGGAGATTAGGATAGTACGCGACAATGAAAAACATATGTATTGACGGGGAGATTAGGATAGTAGTAGATTAGGATAGTAGTAGATTAGGAGCTGACAAGATTAGATATGTATTGATCTATTCGCTTGAAGTCGCCCAATCTACTACTCTCCAGCGATTTCAATCGATACGTATCTAGTCTTGTCAGCGCAACTCTACTACTATCCTAACCTTCCGAGCCGCGGACTATGAACGCGGCCTTACGCTTAGGTTATGTGCGTTGCTAGGAAGGAATCAAGTAAGAGCGTACGTGGTGATAAAGATCAACGAAATGCTCCACATCTTACAGGTTCTAGCCAGATCTCTGTACACCAGCGTGCTAGGCAGACTGACGCGCGCATTATACGGGGTTTCAGCAGCACTAAAAGAGGCTGCTAGTCTTTCTCGACCCGACTCGATATCGTGAACTTTACGGCCAACTTCTAGCCTCTATACACTTGTTGCGTTTGTTAACAGCTGTTCTAACGTCGCAGCCGCGTTGCGAATGTTTCGTAAGAATCTTGGTTATGTTAGTTCGATCCCTGCCTGAGGAGAAATTTGGCCCATGACCAAAGATCCTTGCAAAATTTCTACATATTTACTCTTTCCGGCCTCTAAGACTTCTTAATTCTCGCGGCAAACTCCATGCACTTGGTGCATATCCCACCCACCAAGACAGCGATCTTCTCTTCCTCGCCAGCTTCTGCATGCCTGTTTTCAGGTCTCTGGGAATTCACGGAACCGGAGTGAGGAGTTCGCGAAAACCCAGCCACAGTAATACCATGACCTATACATAGGCAGCTTCACATATAGTAGAGATCGCTAGCGCTTCACCTACCAACTTGTTTCCTAGGCTTGAGCATTAAGGTCTACACCCTGGGACCTATCCTTTTGCCATCACTCGGAGCTAAACTTGTAAGCATCCCAGTACTACCTCCAAACTTCACCAGTATATCAGGAAGTATACTTATGAATAATAAACTGTCTCTCATCAACAAGCCTATCCTCCGCGTGAGAGGCGCATAGCAGGATAAAGTGGCTCCCCCTTCCAACTCCTTTTTCACCGTAGTCTTATGCGTAGCCGGACGTATTACGGTCCGCAATTAATTTCTGTAGACGGATTATCAATCACTTAATTAGGAACACCCAACTGCCTTGAGAAATGATTAGAAAGGAAACATGGATCACGAAGCGCGACATTGATCTGTGCGCACAGCGGGCCTGTATCTCGACATGATGGAATGGCCAAATTGGGGTTTCCCATTTTCAACCCTTTCGGACCTGGCGGTGGCAATTGCCACCATCAAATTCAAATGTCTGCATTACCGCTGCAACAGCATATTTCTACTACCCACTGTAGAGATTACTACAGACGACCTTCCCCTTCCTAATTATGCTTTGAGCCTGCCATTTTGTGTGTTGCTGTTAGCATTACAAGTATTTGTGTACAAGTGCAACAATGAATCGGCGCTGGTCTCAGCAAGCCGCTAGGTAAGTGTCAATCATTTCTAAAATACTTGACATATATTCAATTTCTTATCAAAAACGTTAGATATAATGTTGTGCAAGATCATAAACTTTTTCGACATATCTAAGAAATTTGGAATTGTTTCGACATAAGCTAAACAGCTGAGAGGCTGTGCTAATTTTCAAAACTTCTT